GGTCACCACAACATGAGGAACTGTATTAAAGGGTTGCGGCATTAGGAAGGTTGAGAACCACTGCTTTATAGAAACTGACATATGACAAAACCAATTTGACCATTGGCTAATTGATATAAATAAGAGTGAAGTTCCTATAGCATCTCATCAACATTATAATGAAATAAAGTTGAACAAAGCTACAATATTCGACAACCTGTTGTACTTAAATTGTAACCTCCAAGATCACTGCTTTGACCTCTTGGTGGGTAAATATGTTTGGTAAGAACATAGGGTTACTTTTGAGAAACCCTTTTCAGAGGATGATGTTAATGAACCATCACTAACATTTGAGGGTTTCAAAATACATCCACTGATAAAGCTACCTTATGCTTTGTGATAAAAACATTAATGTTGAAAAGACTGTGCTGGTTGTATCTTTTGTCTTTAATAAGATTGCATTTGTAGGAACTTTTAGATGGTTAATTTCTCCCATTATCAGGTGCAGATAATAGAGAGGCTGAGGAGGCAGGTTTTTGTGTTGGAGGCTGTAGGCTCAACTCCCCTTTCGTGCAGGTGGATTAGGTATCAGGATGGAGTGTACTGGCTAGTTTTTTGACTTATCAGAGGTATGTCCAGTGCTTTGGGGATCACTTGATTGTTTTTCTGAAAATTCATTTGCATTCACACCAGGTTTCTGACCTGCGTGCTTCAGAAGATGTTGCACAGTATTGAACTGAGACGTCTTCCCCCTTTTCAGTAAATCGAAACTTAAAATTGGCACCAGGCCCTAGGCGTTTTGTACGGGGAAGAATGATTACAGGAAATGAAGGACTGGATTTCAGCCTGGAATTTGCTTCCTCCCTCCTGTGGCAAGTAAATGTGGTCTCGCTGAATGCTTTGTGTGGCCATGCCATTTTCTTTTCTGCTGAGGAGAAAGGCATTACAAGTACATGTATTCTTAGGAGCCTAGCGTTATGTTTGGGTTTTATTTTGTTGTTGTTGTTGCTCGGTGGGAGTAGAGGGATTGGGGACATTTTTCTTCCTGTGTTTCTTTTTGTTTTCGTACCTTTACAAGTTCTGCAATTTTTCTCCTACTTAAATTTTGAATTTGGTGTAAAATTGATGTCAGACTTGTGCCTTGAGTATTGTGTTCTCTCTAAACTTAGAGACGTCTCTTCTGCCCTGGACAGGCAGGTGGGAGATGGGGGGCGGGGGCTTCATTCCTCAGGCTGCGGGAGGGAGGAGGACTTGGGTTTGAACCTCATCTTGATGACCCTACTCTCTGGCTTCAGGTGCTGGGGGAAGTTTCAGAGTTAATGTTTCTTTGTAAAATGAGGACTGTGGAGGATTCAATGAAGTTCTCTATGGGAAGTCTGGCACATAGTGATGTGCAAAGAACCTTAGCTTCCTTCTCACACGTGAGCTACTGCCTTCTCCATCTCTATCACTTCCTTTCAAATTTGCCCCACACTGGGGAACACAAAGTGACCTTCCCTAGCTTGGTGACCCTTTTTAAACCCTTTTCCCTGCTGTCGCCTTGTTCACAGAGGGCTGGCCCTGGGCACTGTGGGCATGTGTGATGAGTAGCACACTGAAGCTAAGGAGCGCACTGGTCCCCTGTTACTGGTTCTGTGGGTGTCCCTGGTTAAGAAATGCTTGCCTGACTTGAGGTGGTGCTGTGCAGCATTACAATTAGACAAGCCTCGGATCCCTTCCAGCCCTCATCAGTTTGTGTCCTAATTTCTCAAATAATTGCACCCATCTGAGCCTCACTTTCCTCTAATTCAGTGATTCTCAACCTTGGCTGCACATTAGAATCGCCTGGGAATCTTTTTAAAATCCTGATTTCTGGGCCTCATCTGCTCTAATTGACCAGAGTGGTTCCTATGCATTTGGCACCAAACTGGTTAATAGTGATTGCTAGCTAAGGACTTGTTAACCCAGAGGTGCATTCTTCCCAATGGGACTGTTAGCACATCAAAAGGATGTTTTTAAAACCTCACTGAATAGTGTATGTGGAGGGAAGGGGAGAGTAATTAAGAGCCATTTGTCAACTAGCTCAGCTCAATAAACATTTTTTGTTATGCTAAGAAACAAGAACAATCTAATGAAATTTAAATGACTAAGGCTGTGGCTTTAGCAAATACTTTAGGAATTTGGTCAATCTGAAAATCAGGATGGTAGACACCTTTCTGGAGGGAGACACACTGTTAAAATTAGTTATATATATGATACCTTCACAGCTCCAGGTTTTAAAAACCAACAACAATACTTTCAACTCTCCAATTTATCTTTGTTAATTTAGGAGGGTCTTCATATTTCAAACAGGGCAGTTCAAAGTTCATTTTCTTTATTTCCCTCAGCAGTGAAAAGTTCTAAGTTTCATAATGTATTTAAAATATTACATTATGGTTGTAAAATGTTATTTTTCAATAATTGGATTCTTTGATAAATATGGCTAAACAGGACTGCTTTCCATGGGCCACGCACCACCCGAGGCATTTGTAGCAAGAGCAAAACTCAAGGGGTCCCCTCAGCTGGGCTCCTGGGGACCCTGTCAGCCTGGAGCCAGAGTATCGGAGGTGGAAGGCTGGACTGCAGGAAGGGGACTGCTAACCATCCAACTCCTTCCCGAAGTTTGTTTGGGGGGGAGGGGAATAACCTTTTCTTTCATGTAAGTAATATATGTTCTCTATAGAAAAAACAGGAAGTAGAACTAGCTAAAGATCTCTGAAAATAAAAACCAGCAATTCTCCTACCCAGACAGTCCTTCTGATATCCCATGCCAGGCATTTCTCCTGAACATATAAGCACTCGCATATGCAAAGGGTTAGTAGTCTCAAGTCCATCAAGGCCTGGCCACTTCACTGTTTTTGAAACCCTAAAATGCGCTTTTTAAAGGTGAGGAAATACCGAAACAGGACTACAAAAAGTATGGTGTATATTGACATATAAGTAACAACAACAACAAAAGAGGCCATGACGTGTGGGTGGACTGCATCTCAAGTGTAATTCTGAGGCTTGGGCCAATCAGCTTCCTTTCCACACACCCATTTCCATGGTAGGGCTCCTGTAAGAGGTTGTCTCCGAACCCAGATTTTCACTAGCAATGTAGCATGGCATCTCTGTCAACACATGTAATTCTATATCACTTTACTTTCTGCATAGCAGCCCATTGGATGGACCACAAGATATTAAGTCCTTTTCTTGGACATTTATCCTTCACTTTCCTTGATAGTTCATACCATGGTGAATAATCTGGTACTTGCTTCTTTATACATTTCCTTACTTATTTCCTTGCGATGAATTCTAAGCTATCATTGATGGGGCAAAACGTACTCGCCTATTTGTAAGGTTGAACTGTTCTTTCTGAAAGAGGCCCTCCTGTTTTTAGAAAGGAGAGAGAGTCCTTCAGTGCTAGGGCTGGAGTGAAGCTTTACCCAAACCTCACTGCTTCTGTTTCATTGTCACAGCTTCCGAGTCCCGCTGACAGGGCCATGTGAGGGAGTGCAGAGGCCACACCTTCTCTGTGCAATGAGAAGAGCAGTATGAAGAAGGCTGCTCTGGGACCCCTTTGATTCTCAGCCCAACCAATTTCCAGCAAGAGCCCTGACATTAATCTTGCCACATCTCCTCCACTCCCCTTCACTTCTAAGCCTCACTCCACTTTGCAATGAGTTGTGGCAAAATACCTATTCCAGCAGAATCAGATGGTGAGAACTCCAGATTTAAAAAAACCCGAAGAACATGAAAGGCCTGCCACACTTTATCCTGGGTTCTTGTTCCAAGTAGCCCATCCTTCTAGGCCAGCTTGTCAATGGCCAGCCAGCTCCATGATCCTTGCCACCAAAACCAAAATCAAAATCTCACTCGAAAACCAAAATCTAAGGACTCTGTATTCTCCAGCCCCCATTTGCTCTAAATTCTTTTCAGTTCCTCACCTCACTGACATCAGATTTGGCCCTGTAACTCTCTCCCTTCAAACCCTCTCTACCTGCTCCTCCCAAACAATCTCTGTCTCAGTATGTCAGGAACAGTGTCCTCAAAGGTAGTGCTCCTGGCTGTCCCCCTGTTGTCCACCCTTCCACTTGGACTCACTCCCCCTGTACCCTTCCCCAATCCCAACGATACAGGTCCAATCCTGTATCTCTCCAGGCACATCCCATATGCTGTCTTCTCCAAGAAGTCTTCCCAGCCTTCTAGCCCAGTGGTCGGCAAACTGCGGCTCGCGAGCCACATGCGGCTCTTTGGCCCCTTGAGTGTGGCTCTTCCACAAAATACCGACTTCTGCGCATGGGCCACAAAGTTTCCATCGCACTGTACGTGTGCGCCCGCACGTGGTATTTTGTGGAAGAGCCACACTCAAGGGGCCAAAGAGCCGCCTGTGGCTCGCGAGCCGCAGTTTGCCGACCACTGTTCTAGCCTAATAGCCTTCCTCTAAAGCTCCATATAGTATTATCATGACGTATACATTACACTGTCATGTAAATGGCACCATACAATTGTGTGTGTCTGTGTGTGTGTGTGTATGTGTGTGTGTACCACATGACTTTAAGTTCCTTGAAGGCAAAGCCTGTATCATCTGTTCATCCTCCCCTTCTGAGTATGGAGAACCACTGTGCTTTACTCCAAGATATTGGTTCCATGAATGAATGAGCAGTGAAGGAACGTGAGCTGATGGATAAGTGAAGTGGATGAAAGGAGCCTACTGGGTAAAGGTTTATTCCAAGGGAGTCTGGTGGCCCCCATTTCTCATAGGAGGGACTTAGGACAGTATTCTGATTGGAAAGGGGCTTCAAGCACTTCATGAAAGAGTGCGACAAGAACTGATGATCATGGAGAAGAGCCCGTCCCATCAGGCCCCCTGACATCCTTCCTAGGTGCACGTTTAACTGTCACTGAATTTAATACTGTCTGTTGTTTTTGTGTTAGGGAATGTTTTGCCTTGATTAAATTATATCTTGATTTTTTTTAAAAGAAAAAGTATTAAATACGCCTGTCATTTCGGCTTCTTGCAGGCAGCTATGGTCCTGAGCTCCGCACACTTCTGGTTGGGATTATTTCTGGTTCCTACTGCGTGTTTGATCGAAGACGTGGTATGGAGAGCGTAAGTGGAAACTGAAGTAATAGCCCCGAGTCTTACTCATCTGTCCCTGCAGTTGTCTTCCACAAGCATTGGCATCGGAATGAAATGCTATGAGACTTCTGGAGAAACCGGTCTCCTGCCACCTGCCAGCAAAGGATGTAAAGGATGTTGTGTTTGGTTTTTTTCCTTTTAACCTGTTCTTCACCTTAGACAGAAGGGAGTCGCAAGACAGACTGTGTGAAGGTCAAGAGGGATGTTCCTTATACTTGATTATAAGGGGGAGTTTCTAAGTACAGTCCCAATTCTACCAGGTTTAGGAAGTATAACTTGAAATTCGTTTTCCTCATGTCTAAGAGTTATTGCTACATGATCATAAATATAGCCTGGCTTTAAGGAAAATTGTGTCTATGCAAGTCATTTCAAATTGCAAAATACTTGGAATTTAGTGTTCTTTATTTTTCCAAATAATTCACTATAGGAATCCTTCAAATATAATTCTTCCAGAGCGTCAGTTTACAGGTCTATGGGAAAATTAACCACACAGATGAAATTATAATGTAGGCTAAACAGGAAATAATTCATGCTTAAATTTTGTTTATATGTTTTAAAATATATCATTTCTGAAATATCTTGTACACAGTGTAAAAGAAGCAACAAGGTAATGTAAATTTTAATTCTGTAAGCAAACGATGGAATACTGCAAATGAGATAATATTGATTTTTGAGTTGGGTAGGCCTGGTTCCTCCCTCTTACAAATAGTTGCCAACTTCCCTGAAAATTGAGACTCTTGCATTGGCTTTACTTTGGGCAAAGCATAATTATTTGGGGGCCCTGAGGTAGAGAATTGAGGCTTTAATCCAAATCTTCCAGGAAAAGACATCAGATTTCATTTCTCTCTCTCCCTTCCTCCCACACTCAATGAGAATGTTCTTGCCTGACAGTTATGGATGTCTTTTGAAAGAGTCTTCATTTTGGCATTATCTTGACAACCGATGGCACCTAATACAGAGAGAGAGGGGAGGAGAGACAATTTTATAGCACATATTTTGGGTTTGTGTTTTTTTTCTTCTGTTCACTACGTTTTACAACTGTTAGTAAAAATTAAATAATTCTAATTTCTTAAATGTTCCAATTTACCACTGTTTCCATGTTACCTACTGAAACTGTGCTTTATAAATAGTAGAAACAGAATCTTTGGAAATGAATTATAGCCAGAAAAGATGTTTTCTCAATCTATTAAGTACACTAAAAGAAAATGGTAGTTTTATCGTACACCTAGCTTAATTGTGGCAAAATATATTACCTTACCGAATTTTGTCAATTTTGCAAGATAATCAAGTTAGTTTTAGGTCTTTGCTACATCAGGTGACTTTTCAATTTATAGTGACTGACAATAGTGATTTGACTGTAAATTAATCTTAGGCTCTTTTATTCAACTACCTTAAATGAATATCATGAAAAAAAATTTTTTTTTATTGAGACTGCATATTTGCCAAATGAGACTTTAGCAGAAGTATCTTTCTACCATTTCAACGACAATGTTTTCAGATTACAGTGTCTGCCTTTTTGTCTCTTTTTCCCCCCAATACATTCCAAGTAAAAGTTCCTCATCAATCAGGAAGCAAATTCTCTATTCCTTCAAGCAGGAATATTATCTATTCCTGACTCCTGGCACTGTAAAATTAGCACCACTTACATTTTTAAAAGGATAAAGCAAATGAGCCTGCCTCCGGCTCCACCATACGAAAAGAGTAAAAGTCGCTCTCTTTCCAAGAAGCTTGCCTGCAGGCTAGAGCCCTGTAAAGAAGGCCCTGGTGGAGGGGAGGGGAGCATGAGCAGAGGCTGACCACCAGTGTTGTCTGCCCCGCTGCCCCGCACCGCAGGCCCAGGACAGCCCTTCCAGGAGCACAGCACCCGTGCTTTGGGCTGAGCCCGAAAGGCCCCTACTGAATTCCAGAGGCACTTCCAGAAACGCATTTTTGCCTTGGTTTATTTGGGGGAGTGGGAGGATGGCATGCATTGGCGCTCATCTGGAGGAGTTGCCCAAAATATATGCTCAGTTTATAGTATATATTTAATGTCTAAATTACAGTCCCCTCTCTCCTCATAAACAATAATTCTGCAGGTTTATTTGAGCACTTTTCCTCTGACCACAAGGCCCAGGTTTTATCTCATATTATATTCCCAGACTGAGATATTTGTTGTTGAGTTAAGTAAACTAGGAGACTTCTCCCAGGAAGAGAGCGCTGCCTGAGCTACTGTATCGATTATATTCCCAGACTGAGATATTTGTTGTTGAGTTAATTAGGAGACTTCTCCCAGGAAGAGAGTGCTGCCTGAGCTGCTGTATCACTGAACTCTCAGTTGTCTTTCCGAACCTCAGCTTTATAAACGTGTCTGTTTTTCCTTCCTGCACGCTGAACTAAAATAGGAATCCTGAGTGTCCAGGTCCACCCATCTTTTGGTTCGAATTGTCAGATATTTATTGAAACATGATGTGCTATGATGCACCTTGGACAAGAAGAGTTTTAAATGAACTGAGAGTCGGAACCGAGGCGCAACTGCAGAGAGTGCTGTGAGGGCAGGTGGCAAGGGCGGGGGCCTAACTCGGTTTGTTACTGTCCTTCAATCTTGCCGAGGACCAGTCTTCAGGAATTTTTTGTTTTGTTTTGAATTTTGGTGGTTAACTATTTCAAAAGAGCTTTTAAATTCCAGCACAAGGTAGGCCTGCCTTTCCCCATATATTTCTATGAGCACTTAAAGTAAGTTATTCTTTCTGCATTTCCCCCCTTCTTTGCCCCAGTCTCTCTCTTCTATTTTGGGACTTGGAGTGTTAAGAATAAGAAAAAAACAGCATGAGGTAATTCAGTCATTTTTCCCATGAAGTCTGTCAACTTTCTGGATGAAGATCCATTGTTAGACTATCTTAAGTCAGATTTGGATGCCGTAAGATACCTACTCTGTTATCCTGTTCACCAGAATTTTCATAAGGGACCAAACTAATACATATTTTATTAAAATAATTGATTGATTATATGTGATACCTGGCTAATGACTATTTTTATTAGAAGCATGAAGTTTAAATTGCCCAGAACTATTTTAATATCCTTTAGCTTACACTCTTCCAAAATGTTTACCTATGACAACATTCTTAGGTTAGCAGCCATGTACTTATTCTCCTCTAGGAGAAATTTGTCAGGATATAAAGCTCAAGGCCACTGAACACAGGAACCAGCCTCTTTAATCTAACTTGTATCTCCTGTAGTCTACCAGTCAGCACACAATACATTCAGCAATTCCAGAATGACTTCATTTCCTTATTATAATCCCAGATAGGCAGTTAAGTGGAAATAAAAGGTAATAAGAAATTTCTGTATACAAATGGGCCTTGGTGTTTCTAAAACTTTCTAACTACACTAATTTCTTTTGGGGCACATTGTGTATACATTTTCATCCACATTTAGAAATTAACATTTCCTTTTAATTTGTTATCCTTCCATGCAAAAGAATTGTCTAGGACAGGGGTGGATGGGCAAACTTTTTGACTCGAGGGCCACAATGGGTTCTTAAACTGGACCGGAGGGCCAGAACAAAAGCATGGATGGAATGTTTGTGTGAACTAATATAAATTCAAAGTAAACATCATTACATAAAAGGGTACGGTCTTTTTTTTTTTAGTTTTATTCATTTCAAATGGGCCGGGTCTGGCCCGCGGGCCGTAGTTTGCCCACGGCTGGTCTAGGAAAAATTTTCAGAAACAAAGAAATGGAAAGTTCAAGATTCTAAGCCAATCTATTTATTTTAAAGTTCCCTAATAACCTGGAGATACCTTTAGCACTATCTGAGCGCTCACAGATGAATCGCACACCCTCTGACAGTGACTAAGCACCCCACCCGGCCCCTTTTGTGATCCTCTGGTCTCTTGATGTGGGGTTAAATGAAGCAAGCCCTGGACCACTGGGGATAAGCCGTTCAAAGATAATGGGGCTCACACTGTCCAAGCTGTGATTCATAACAAGCCAGACTCCAGTTCCTGAAGAGACCTCAATTACACGCCAGGGGCTGATTCTTCAAGATTGGCTTCTTAAACCTTCATGTGTTAGGTTTTAGTCATTTCACATGCAGACTTTGACAGGGGAGATTTTAAATTTGTCTGCCTAATTATGGCCTTATTAGGTAAACGTTCTTGAGAAAACATTTTAAGTGCTAGCATCCCTTCTCCGGTGCTACATGTGGAGAGAATAGCAGAATCCTCCCCAATGTCGCCATTCATGTTCTTAAACACTGGTTAGGTTCCCAGGCTAGCTCTCGGATTGCCACATGACTCTTGGGCATGGATGCAGCTACATCCACTGAGAACCTGCACAATGCCTGGTAGCTTCAGGATATTTAGATCATTTCCCTCTGTGAATGAGTGAAAGCTGGGGCAGATTCCTTTTATTCTTGGCCTAAGCTACTGACAGCCAGTGTCCTGGGCCCAGTGGCCCAGCCTTCCTATTCCAAGCCTGCTTCTTAGAGTAGCCCTTCTCTTGCAGCCCAAGAGATAACATTGGGGGCTGGTCTAGAGGTTGCTGAACCCTGCTTGCTCTGTGTGGGGCAGCAGGGAAGGAGGAAGGGAGGAGGATGTGGAGTAAGGACAATCCTGAAACAGTGAGAGAGCGTGCGCATCCTTGAGCACTGACCAGACATGTTCTCGTGGGCCCTGCATGTCTGGGGTGAATCCAAGTGTGGTGGGGGTTGCCACTTAGTTGGCTTGTTATCAATGTATCCCTGTAAGCCCATGAGATAAAAAGGAACATTTGAGGCACAGCATGTTTAATAATATTGAACAGTGTAAATGTTAACCTCCTTTTTGACTGCCTTCACAGCAAAACGTTAAACATTTTCTCAATTATTGTTTAAATTAAAATTCCACTGTTTCTGCTTTGAACTGCAGCATTTTATCACTACTGAGTCTCAGGCCACTGCTTGATGTAATTAAGGTATTATGTGTTAAAACCTGTGTGGTTTAGTTCTCTTGTTTACTTTGGGAAAAGGAATGACAGGCACATATACAGTGTCTTAGTACTAATACTCCATTAGAGATTAACTCGGAGTGTTAGGGGATGACTGGGCATTATCTCAATAGACTTTCTTTCCTTGAAGGTGGAGGCTGGGCAGGAGTGTGTGATTCCACTAAATAAAGCAGCTCACATCTTCAGAATGCCCGGTTACACTTTTCACTTCTTTGCAGATATATGCTCAGTCTTTGTCCTTATTCTGTCTTCGAGTTCTGGTGTTTAGCAGGATCCTCATACTCCTTTATACTGAATTTAATGAAAAGCTTTTCATAATACAGGGTGGCTCAAAAGTGGGTTCACAGCTGTGAGTACACGAAACACAGCGTTTGTTCTTGTATTATTATTTATTATTTATCATGTTATTTTCCATATGAACAACCGTAAACCAACTGTTGCTCCACCCTGTATGTAAGCCTGCCCTGCATGGCTAAGTCATTAGTGCTTTTCTTTCTACAGCTTTTTTTCCCTATTTCTAACTTGCATCTTGTTAAATGCCTTTTCTTCACCTGCATTGTTTCCAACCAGTAGCTTTCTGCTTAGTCTCAATCTTAGGAAGATCCTGAGGTCAGCCACTTATTGAACATTGTAAGGTATTCTTCTCAGTTTAATCAGAAAGAGGGTGCAGGTAACTATCCCTGCAATTCCAGAAGAGGGGCGTGTCTAGACTGGGGTTTGAGCTGTAGTGGAAAGGCCCAGCTTTCCCCAGTTGTTGACTCCATCGAGACCTACACCTGCAGGCCCTCGCGGCAAGGCTGTACAAGAGAAGCTGTACCTGGGTATTTGTGTCAAGCCCGTCTCAGGTCAAGGGTTTGGCATGAAGAGCATGAACTCTAGCGCTATAATGGCAGTGGCTCTTTTCACACTAAAGAAAGAGGGGAAGCTGCTTACCCTGGACTTTCTGGTCACCGTAAAGGACAGGACAGGGGACCGGCACACGTCCAGTAGGGTGGGGATTTAAAGCATCTTCTGAGTTGCTAGATCATGCAGTGGAAAGCTTTAGAGACAGATACATGAGTATCCAGGAACCCCAGTCTTGGTTCTGAATGGCTATGATCCTCAGATCTGCCGGCTTTCAGCAAAAAAAAAGCAGAAGTCTTTAGGGGGCTGACACCTGATTCTCCCCCAGGCATAGTCCTTGCCATGCACGGGACTGAGAATGCTCCCTAATGCCCCAAACCTCAGCAGCAGTCGGTCAAAGGGCATCCAGATGTGGCCCAAGAAGAGAATACCCAATCTTCACAGCTGTGTAAAGTTCAAGTGTTATGTTCTTACTGTCTTTTCCTTGTGACTCAGGGTCAAGCATACCTGTCATAAAACATTGCTGGAAGAGGTACAGGAGCTGGAAACGAAGATGGGAAAAGCAATGCTCCGGGACAGTAATGGAAAGAGGTGGGCATCTCCATCTAACTATTTGAAGAACACGTGTCCTCCAGCCCTTTTCTCTACTGTTCCTTCCCGTGTTTCTCTCTTCTCAGTTTTCAATGTGAGCATGGGGTGCTCCGTTTTAAGCATTTTGGTTATTCTCTAAGAATGTAGTCCTGGTGAGACTTAAGTCACACTCTCTCAATGACAACATAAAACCTGACTTTCTGGTTCACTGGGCCTGACCTCAAGTTAAACTGGAATTTTGACTGGGTCTGGACTTAAGCAAAGCAAGCCAGATGCAGAAAATACAAATAGTAGCAATATTACCTTAAGGTGGAAAAGTTTAATAGCTAGGCCTTTGGATATCAGGCCCAACTATTACACTAAAGGATGCGTATCTACCATGAAAGTCCGTATGCTATTTATGTAAATGCATATCATTCATATAAATCTTGTTACAGTTCCCTTCATGTATCACTGTGGTTTTGTTTTTAATGAATTATTATTTCCTTCTGGTGTTGAGAAAGTATAGTGGTTCGTGGAGACAATACCATTGCTCTCTGTGCTTATTTCTCATAGAGCATCAGCTTCCTCTTCCCCACACGTCATAGTTGAGCATGTGAGTAGTTTTTATTTAATCACATATGCTAAAATGTTATTAGATTAAATTTAGTTAAAATCCAAATACTACCAAAGAAGTTTACCTGGACCCAAGAACAATGTGAGTGCAATGAAGAGGCACTGCTGTATTAGAGACATGCGACGTCTGGAAAATTATGCTCTTTTGTAAACAAATGTTTAGAAGGAAGTCCGTAGCTAACTGCCAATGAAAAAAAATCTAGAAGTTGAATACTTCCAGAGATTCCTACTATGTGTTTTATTTATAGTCTGTTTATTTGTACCATCTTTCAAAGCAATACAGAAAAAGTATGTTTTCAAAGGAAAGAGAATCAAACATTTTGAAAAGTATGAGGAGCATAATTTCCAATAATTGTCACTATTTTAGGAATGGGATTGTATAATATGTAGTTGAAGTTGTGGGTTTTTTGTTCATCGGGACAGTAATGGAAAGAGGTGGGCATCTCCATCTAACTATTTGAAGAACACGTGTCCTCCAGCCCTTTTCTCTACTGTTCCTTCCCGTGTTTCTCTCTTCTCAGTTTTCAATGTGAGCATGGGGTGCTCCGTTTTAAGCATTTTGGTTATTCTCTAAGAATGTAGTCCTGGTGAGACTTAAGTCACACTCTCTCAATGACAACATAAAACCTGACTTTCTGGTTCACTGGGCCTGACCTCAAGTTAAACTGGAATTTTGACTGGGTCTGGACTTAAGCAAAGCAAGCCAGATGCAGAAAATACAAATAGTAGCAATATTACCTTAAGGTGGAAAAGTTTAATAGCTAGGCCTTTGGATATCAGGCCCAATTATTACACTAAAGGATGCGTATCTACCATGAAAGTTTGTATGCTATTCATGTATATGCATATCATTCATATAAATCTTGTTATAGTTCCCTTCATGTATGACTGTGGTTTTGTTTTTAATGAATTATTATTTCCTACTGGTGTTGAGAAAGTATAGTGTCTTACTGGCTGGTTCGTGGAGACAATACCATTGCTCCCTGTGCTTATTTCTCATAGAGCATCAGCCTTCTCTTTCCCACACGTCATAGTTGAGCATGTGAGTAGTTTTTATTTAATCACATATGCTAAAATGTTATTAGATTAAATTTAGTTAAAATCCAAATACTACCAAAGAAGTTTACCTGGACCCAAGAACAATGTGAGTGCAATGAAGAGGCACCTCTGTATTAGAGACATGTGACATCTAGAAAATTATGCTCTTTTGTAAACAAATCTTTAGAAGAAAGTCCGTAGCTAACTGCCAATGAAAAAAAATCTAGAAGTTGAATACTTCCAGAGATTCCTACTATGTGTTTTATTTATAGTCTGTTTATTTGTACCATCTTTCAAAGCAATACAGAAAAAGTATGCTTTCAAAGGAAAGAGAACCAAACATTTTGAAAAGTATGATGAGCATAATTTCCAATAATTGTCACTATTTTAGGAATGGGACTGTATAATATGTAGTTGAAGTTGTGGGTTTTTTGTTCATTTAGGACTTATTTTTTAATAAATGAGTCCATAGCATTCATTTATGACAATTGTGCTCGTCACTCTAAAAAAGTCAGCCAATAAGACAAAAATCTGTCTTCAGTAAGCTTATAATCCTGAGGCCCCGGGCAGGGCCTAGGCTCACAGCAGATCTATCTATAACATAGGTGAGATAGCACGCGGCTCAGGCGTGAGCAGGGCTGTCCTGGCCTTAGATACTTCAGGCACGGTGCTTAGCTCCTACTAGATTTTTAAGGACCTACAAAATTCTTTGAGATCTAAAAAGAAACATATTCATAGGCTTTAAAAATAAGGGAAAGCCTCTGCAAATTGAAATTAGCAAATGTTTAAAACTCTACAAGATACTTATCAGTCTTAATTACTGTGACACTGAAAAATCACAATAAGTTTTATCATTATTTGAAAACAACTTATAGGCTCTCATATCTCAAGAATTCTCAAGTATACACAGGGTTGCTGAGAGGTCACAAGTAATTCTAAGTAAAATAAGAGTTTCAAAGCAAAATTCTAAAACTCCTTTCAAACATCAGACAGGAAAACATTACATATAATGTGGCATTATATGCACTTTAACTGATGTGCGACAGGGTCTTCTGCTGGCCTGGCCATGAGGTCAGCAGCACGGAGGCCCTCAGAAGAGGCAGCAATCCAGGAGGCTCTGGCTTAAGAGATTCAGAAAGGCTTCATGTCCAAGATAGGATGGAAAACAGGGCTTTGAGGATGTAAAGAACTTGAAAAGACAAAAATGATGAGAGTATGTTTCTGGCAAAAGGAGTAGCCTCCATCTGTTAGAGAAGACGACTAATATTTTGAGGGGGAAAGGGGTTATGGTTTATGAAACAATGTGGACAACACAGCATATTGCCTGACCCATAGCAGGAACACAGAACACCAGCCACTAGTCTTCAGATGAGCAGGGGAGCCATGCTATTGCAGGAGCTTTGAAAGAGAGTGTGAGCCCATCTCTGTTTGTTGTTGATAAAAAGAATGCTCTTTGTAAAATTCAGTTATCCTGTTCAGAATTCACTTTTAAATGTTCAAATGGATACCAGAAGATAATTGGAGTTTAAATGTGGTTTCCTACCTCCTCCATTTTAATATCTGTTTCCTGGTCGCTTTGTAAATTTCATCACTCCCCTGGCTGAAGTGATTGCGGGTGTGATTATCATTGTGCCAGCCCCACTTGGTTGTGATGGTTTCCTTTTCCTCTGGTCCCAGTGTCTTGCCTCACTTTTGAGTTCCTAGCAGAAGATAGTTTGGGACTCCATCCCTCACATCATCCTCAGCAGCCCCCCATTTGTTTTTCTCCCTCCTAATTGCTCCCAGGTTTTCTGGGTGTTCCATCTGCAAACTAGATAATGGCCATGTGCTGCTCTCTGCCAGAGATTGTGTCCCGCTGAGCCTCTCCAGAGCTGCCTCACAATTGTTCCTTTATCACCATTGTTTGCTTCTTTCACACCTGGTTGGAGTCCTGTGCACCTCTGGTGCTGGTTCGGGGAGGGAACACCATGAGGAGAGTTGTAATTTCTTCAGCTCTGTTCCTCCAAAGATTTATAGACTCCCTCGTTGAGAGATCTTGAGTATTTTGGTCTCTTTCCACACTCCCCATTACTTATTCCTGATCCCTACCTGATGTTTCCATTTACTTTGCATCTCTCTCTAGCTGTTAGTCTGACATGGTAGAAGCACCACAAACATTTGTTAACTGACTGAGTGGAAACACAAAAGTCTGGTCAGGTGGCGCTGAGGAAAAGAAGGCTGGTCTGCATTGTCTGTGCAGAGCTGCTGGTGCTGGGTGTGTTAGCTCATGTTGAAAGTGGCCCCAGAGAGATGCTAAGAGATTTGCAGGTGGTCACTTGGCTCCAGTGAGAGAGACACTTATCTCATGGCTTAAGAATAAAGCTAACAAAAACTCACAGATGGAGAGACATTTAGTGCTAGCAAATTGAACAGTCTTGGAGTGGGTGCTCCCAACAGCCCACAGCCATCCTGCCTTAGGTGCCAGCAAAGCGTCTCTGCCTCAGGTGTCCTGAGCATCCCTGCCATCCCAGGGTTACTCAGCTCAATTCTGAAATCCTTTAGGACATTCTGCCAAGTCATAAAACCCAGGTCCAAGTCACTGGCAAATATACTAGCAGTTTTTCTCAGGAATGTACTCATAAGAAATACAACAAAAATCTTTTTAAAAACCCTCATGTGCCAAATTTACAATTACGATTTGAAATGGTACCTAGGCAGTCTATGCATCCCTCTAGGCCAGCGGTTGTCAACCTGTGTGTCGAGACCCCTTTGGTGGTCAAACGACCCTTTCACAGGGGTCGCCTAAGACCATCCTGCATATCAGATATTTACATTACGATTCATCACAGTAGCAACATTACAGTTATGAAGTAGCAACGAAAATAATTTTATGGTTGGGTCACAACATGAGGAACTGTATTTAAAGGGCCAGAAGGTTGAGAACCACTGCGTCTAGGCCCTTTATTTACTCAGTAAAATACTTGAACATTTTATTGATCTTGTCTAAGCCCCAAAATTTTACACTATTTTGGTAAGCATTAAAATTTTATTAAATGCTTCTGCACAGTCGCATTGATAAATCTTGTCTTCTGAAATTAACCTGCGTAATTTATGCATAAGTAAGCCTATTCTCATGACTTGGATAAAACTATATTTTCTATACTAGAAAGTATAGGACAGTATGAAAATGCTAAAGGTAATGGACAGCAGTGCTTTTCTTGGTTGTGGTGTGTCTGTCTTTGGTGGAGCCTTTTTCTGGCTGTGCTGTTTGTGGCCGGACCCATTTCTACATGTGAACTGTATGGAAGGCCTTTCCCCAAAGCAACCTTTACCCAGAGGTCACACCGCTGCTCTCTGTGTGAAACGGT